CTCAATTCCCATATTTACTTTCGCCCCTTTTTGTATGATGTTTTTCATTGTGTTGTTCATTTTGCCTTGCCTGAATAATCATACTGTATTATAGCCGAATCCTCTCATGCTGCCGAAGAAAGGGCACGACGAGAACATCAAGTGCGACGGCAACGATATAGACATGCACACATTAACCGCATTGAACCACCAATCAATTTTGCACGTATTTACACAACGACACTAATCGTACAACATATTGTCATCACCCTTGCCACACTTGGCGATCGGACATTGTGTCTTTACTGCGGAGCGTACAAATGGCAGCATGAACACCCATGGTCGATGCTATGCTGTCGTCGAGGCGAAGTAAAACCACCACTTTGGGAATATCCGCCAGCCCAAACTCCTGACCACGAAATCCTTCAACTATGGAAATCAGACAATAAATATGGCAGGTTTTTACGATCAGGCTCGCTACAATTCAAGAATGCATTTCCGCTTGCGTCACAAAGTGTTTGAGAAACAGAATATCCTCCAGGTGCATGGTCGGGCATGTTATGTATAGAAGGGCAATTGCGCGAAAATTTAGGCCCCTTGCTTCTAAACCCTAACAATCAACCTGCGTTTGCACAAATCTACGTATACGACCCACAGGATGAACATGGCGCAACATTTCTTTGTCTTACTCGCCTCAGTCTTCCTGCTGATAAGCCTTTGGCAACTATTCGAACTATAAAATCCCTCCTCTGAAAAATTCACGCACTTCTGCGATCGTGTAATCGTTGGGTCCAAGATTGCATCACAATTTAGAAAATGTCAGATGAACTTCTTCATAATCGACATATTGTCATTAACCCTGATGCACGACCAACGAATGAACATGAATGACGATATAATAAACCAGAAACCTCAAAGAATTATGTATTCTTATGCATGACCAACCTGTCAACAAAGATGTTGTCATCCACAAATGTGTTGGGAGTATTATCCCAATTGCTGAAACTAATCGAGCTTTTGACCCCCTTCATTACGCTTTGCTATTCCCGAACGACGACGATGGATGAACCCCCGATTCCGATAATAATACTGAAGAAATAAGTCAATCCATCACAGTACGAGAATTTTATGCATTCCACATGAACACACGTTTCACAGAAAGAACAACAATCTTTCACGCGTGTCGACTTTTCCAAGACTACATTTGCATGACATTCGCTAAAACCGAAAATGGTCGACTTTTGTACAATCGATTACATCAAACAGAAAATTCTGCTGACCTATACGAAAATTTGCGAGACCATGTCATGCAATATGACAATAGTGAAAATATCGGGCAACGAATTATTCTACCGGGAACATTTACGGGAGGACCGCGTGATATGCATCGGTGATACCAAGATACTTTTGCAACTATTCAAGAATATGGAGCACCGGACCTTTTTCTTACTTTCACATGTAATCCATACTGGCCCGAAATAGAAACTCCTCTTTTTCCAAACCTGCAACCAGCAGACAGACGTGATCTCCTCGCACGTGTTTTCAAAGGATACTTATGACAATTGATTCATGACATACACTCAACTCATATATTCAGAGATACAACAACGTACACATCTGTAATTGAATTTCAAAAACGTGGATTGCCGCACACACATATAATAATAACACTTAAACAAGATAAAAACTTACTACAACTGAACAAATTGACTCTGTTGTTTCAGCAGAGCTTCCAACTAATCCCGCATTGCGAGAATTGGTCCTCACTCACATGATTCACAATCCATGTGGAATACACAACATGCATGCATCCTGCATGAAAATTACCAATGTACACGATTCTTTCCTAAACCATTTTCTGAACGAACAACGTGGAATGAAGAAACATGATACCCTATTTACCGTCGACGTGCACCTGATGATGGAGGAATTCAAGTCATTCGTGGTGAAACTCAACTTGATAACTCTTGGATCGTGACTTACAATCCTTACCTCCTGCTACGATATCGAACACATTTCAATGTTGAAATATGTGCATCGACAGATGCGTGTCGATATATGTTTGAATACGTCCTGAAAGGTCCTGACAGAGCAATGGTCGCTGAGGCTATTAACACCGAAGATGAAATTCAAACATATCAAGACATGAGAACAATTGGTGCCGCTGAATCATGCTGGCGTATTTTCGATTTTGTGTTATGTGATCGATATCCCGCCGTCTCACCACTGCCTATTCACACTGAAAATCGCCAAAGAGTGTACTTCCGTCAACGACAGCCCCACCCCCTGAAACGGAACTTACAGCTTAGTTCAATTGGAACGCTGCACATCTTGAAAATCCCGAAAATAATAAACCTCTATACAAAGATATGATTCGTCGATTCCGTTTCGATAAAAAATACAAAATGATGAATTCCTCGACGCCAAGCATCCAACACAATTAGCCGAATACGTACTATCCATCGGAATAGCGGAGATACATTCTATCTCCGCATACTACTTCTGTCACCTCACTCTCGTGGTGCAACAAGCTTTGAGCATCTTCGCACCGTTGATGGCCAAATTCACCCGACATACCAAGCTGCATGCAAAGCACTTGATCTCCTAAACAACAACACACAATTCGATGCTGTTCTCCAAGATGCAATTCTAATGTATTCCTCGGCCATGGTCCGTGACCTATTCGTTCATATACTTCTTCACTGTGGTATTAGCGACCCTAACAATTTTCTTGACACACACTAGGAACAAATGACTGATGACTTTCTACGGCGACTTGTCAATGTCCAAGTCTCACCTTCAATTATCAAAACAATGATCCTTCTAGACATTGAAAATCGACTTCAAAAAGAAGGGAAAAAACTTAATGATGTTGGCCTTATACCACCGTCACAACAAGATAGAGAAGAAGCTAATAACCTTTCCGAAACACCACGCCGTCACAACATCCCACGAGTCATTGATGACGAAATTTCTTATGATAAACAAAAACTTCAAGATACTCTTTATGTTAATCTCCCGGGTTTAACTCCATCACAACATGCAGTCTTCCAACATGTCATTCATGCTGCTGAAAACAAAAAACCGCTTTGCCTTTTTGTCGATGCACCTGCTGGCACCTGTAAAATATTTTGCTTCAACACAATCCTAGCACATCTTCACCTTCACGACCAAGTTGCACTGGCTGTAGCTTCCAGTGGCATCGCGGCAACTTTATTGGATGGTGGACGAACTTTCCACTCACGATTCAAGGCTACACTCAACCCTTTAGACTACGTTAACCCTCGGCCGCGGCCGAGTTCGGCCGGCGGCCTCGACCGGGACCCCCCCGGCCGCGGCCACTCCGACCGCGTTTTTTCGGCCGAGGCGGCGGCCGAACTAGGAGGTGGTCTCAGGAGAGGAGAGCGGGCGTCAGGTGGGGGTGGGGCGCTGCACGCCCTCGAAGTGAAAGACCGACAAAAAAATAAAAAACGGGGGGGTCCTAAACATGAGTCCAGCAGGGTGGGCCGGAAAAATTATTGAGTCCACCGAACTGCGTTTCGTTGATGCAGGACCATTGCAGGTGTGTAGGGGGGAAGGTAAGCAACACAGAAAAAATAAAAAATAAATATGCACCCCCTGCGGGTTCGTTTTTTTGGGGGTGGGGCCCGTGGGGGTATCTGGTGGCTGGTAGACCGTGGGACCGTGGGCCTGCGTTGGGGGATGGGGGTCCGCCGGTTCCGTGGGTGGGTTTGTCGTTGGGTTGAGCGGGGGAGGGGGGAGGGGGGACCGTGGGGGCACTGCGTGGGTTTGGGTTCAAGTGTTGAAGTGCAAGTACATAGTCCCCCACTGCAAGCGGCGGGATACTGGGTACTTGAACTTGGACATCAGGGGCGTGGGGGTTGGGCGGGGGTTGGGTGGGGGTTGGGAAGGGTCGGGATGGGGGTGCGTATGGCAGAGCAGACGCAGCCTCAGGCAGGCATCAATTTCATTCGTGAGGCTGGTGGAATAACACATTGATAAGCATATCATCCATATTTAGCATACCAAATTTACAACACATTCACAATGAGGGCAACCATCACATGCATGTGTGTGGCATTAGACAAAGATACCATTCGCAACATTGCGACAACAATTTCCGCTCTGTACGGGACATTTAAGACAACAAAACACTCACCGAACAACAACGACTCACATGCAAAAGCGAGTGTGAAAGAGGAGCGTGTAGAAGAACAAGACAATGGAAAAAAAAAAATCACTCCAAATGCATATGTATGTGTCAGAAGCCAAAAACCGGACCTGTCAGCGTCAACCAAACCGTGACACACGGTACCTCACAAAAAAAACGAAGGCGATCGTACCATCCGTCCCTGTGGAAACTACCCTATGAAAACAGCGTCATATACAAAACTATGATACAACCTCGAGCAATAACATCAACAACACAGGTTTCATGAAAACCATACAAAACCATAAAACCCAACATTTTTTATAGAGTGAAAAATTAGAACTCAAAATTTTGTTTCTGGTTTGAAAAAATTATACATTTTAAACCACTTTCCAAAAGACAAAGCAAAAAATCAGGCAAACAGTCAAGCGATCCTTAAAATGTGGAGGAAAATTTGTGCTTGGAAAGATCCTGTTATAGGACTATAAGTCCTTCTCAATAGATTGGCAAAAAAACGGAGCTCCAATAAAACAGACTGGAAAGTTGTCAAAAAACAGTTTTAGTGAATTCTGGCATATAGGGCTATATGTCATTTCCAACATTTTATAGACTCTATAAAGCAATTTTGAAGTTAACAATAAAATCCTTGCCAAAAAATGTATGGTATGTAAAATAATAGCACAAACAACTTTTGTCTCGGGGACATTTTCTAATTTTTAGTTAAACGCAAGTTAAAAATAAAAAAACGAAAGAAAAAATTTTAAAAAAGTTTAAAAAACATTAAAAAAGAGGAAGTTTGCCTACAAACTATACAGATGATATTTTGAGATAATAAAAAAATGTATATTTTAATTTTTAAGTATACAATACTTCGCCTAGTAATGATTTATTGCGAAAAAACCTGATTTTTTCCTCGCCACTTTCAGTGGGTTTCAAAAATTATTTTTTTATTCTTTTTTTGTGGTTACTTTGCAAAGAATCTTGCTCCTACAGAAGGCATAAAAACCATACGCTCAGAATCCTAAATAAATTTCGTTCAAACCCAACATATTTTTTTATTGGGTTTTCACGAATCCTATGTTCAACATGAATATGAACCTACCCTGTCAAAACGACGTCCTGTAAAAAAAAAAAAAAAAAAAAGAACAAATAAAAAAAGCACTAACGCCTCCCTCTCCCTGCAGAAGGTCTAGATCCTCTGCCTCCGGAAGGACACCCACGGCCTCTTGCGGTGGACTGTCGACCACGTGCTTCTCTCAGGCCCCCTCCACCACCTGTGCCCTGCGCACCGCTGATGTATGCCACCTGTGCTACCGCGGCTGCCGCGGACACGGCCGCTCTATGTCTGCGGGCTGCAATGTCGATCGGCTCGGACTCTGTGTCCGCGTCCTCGTCCTCGGCCTCAGATGCAGCAATCGTCTGTTGCTGCCTCTGAATCGCGTCCAATGCAGCCTGGCCGGCAGCGATCTCTACTGCGAGTCGAGCCTCAACCTCCGTAACGGCGCTGTGTCGTCTACTCTCACTCCGCATCGGCAACCCCTCCTTGCCAGATTTGTAGTGCTGACCCTGCTGCATGTCCGCAACTGTCCCTCGGGCCAGAATCGGCGGTGGGATCAAAACTCTCCTCGTTGCTGATTGAGACAAACCGAGCATGTGGCCTGCCATGTGAACACTCGAACGTCCGGAGCCACCCTCGCTGCTGGCCGCAACCTGAAACCGAGGTGACAAACTTACTGCGAAGGCGCCCCCCCCGGCGTCGTAATCCGCCCTCATCCGGTCCGAGACCTGGCAGTGAGCTGCCCATCCGCCGACAACACCACCTGCGACAGGCGGCGGGGAACCGGCAACGGGCGCACGGGCGGTAGTCGTGTCGGCGCCGCCATCCGTGCTCCGTGCGGGAGGCGGAGGCATCGATCCGGCAGATCCGCCACCGTCACTGCGGCGGCCCGACCCGCCATCAACTGGCCCGGACTCCCTCCCTCTAATGTCGCTGAGCGAAGAACCTGACCATCTAGGGCTATCCACGATGTACGGCGGAGGCGATTACGCCCCTCTAGGAGGGCGCCTCTCATCGCTCTTGCGGCCCGTGTGGGGGAAAGGGTCATGTGAACCGAGTCGCGCCAAATCCTCGGCATCAAAACCAGCCTGAGCGAAGGCCTCGGGCCGTGTGAGAGGTAGTGTAGGCACTGACGGGGCCCTCAAGACCAAAGCCAGCCTACCCTCATCGCTGTGGTCGCCGTCGTGATCGCCGTGGTCGCCGTCGTCGCCGCCGTGGTCGCCGTGGTCGTCGTCGTAGTCGCCGTCGTCGTCGTCGTCGCCACTGTCGCTGTGGTCGCCGCCGTCGTCGCCGTGGTCGTCTCCGTGGTCGGACCCCTCCTCGTCCTCGTCCTCGTCCTCGCCGCCACCATCTCCCTCAGAACCCGTGGGGACACCATCTCCCTCCGAGTCAACAGTCGTGGGCACACCCTGTCGGGCCGCCCTCGCATCGGCCTCCCCACCAAAACCCTGTCGCCTCCGTCACTTCCGCCACCCCCCCTGTCTCCAACTCCCTCCGTCGGCGCTGCTCCTCCCTATACGAGAAACCACCATCCCATCGCGGCAAAGTCCGCAGCCGCTCCTCCTCCTCTCTGTCCAGTCGGGCATCCCGCTCCTCCTCGGTCTCTACATGGCCCCTCACATCAGAATCGTTGAGGAGCACGTTCGACAGCAAGGCACCCCTCTGTCTCGGGGCACTGAGAACCCCCAAACCCCCGCCAGAGCCGCCGACGTACAAGTCGTCGGTGCGCAGCTCGGACGGCGAGCGATGGCAGACACCGGCGCCGGATGGAGTCCTCTCCATCTCCGGAATGTTCGCAAGCCCGGTCCCCTCATGGTGCTCGGTCGCTGGTGTCTGTTTTCTCTCCGCTGCCCATGCCGACCTCGTCCTCGGCCTGGTAGGCTCTGGCGCTCCCGTAGTCCGATGATGAGAGGGAGAGAACCGGCGATCCGGAAGGCGCACCTTCTCCTCCTCCTTCGCCCCCTCCGGCTCGCTGTCGCTCCTAACCTCCCAACGTCTGCCCGTTTGTCGAAGGCCTCCGACTGGCTCCTGCTCCTCCACGTGCTCGTCGGCACGCGGTCGTCGTCGACGACGACCACCGGCTCTGCCGGTACCATTGGCCTGACCACCGGACGGCACATCATCAGTGATGACGAATGTGTGTGGAGTCATGCCGTCAGGTCCTCTGCCGTACGTGAAATAGACCCACTCCGCCCTCGTGTCGCCGCTGACGGGAGCGTCGTCATCGTCCGTCCACTCGTCGTTCGATGTGTCGCTGTCCGCATCAGTGTCTGACGTCTTCTCCGGTCACGGCCATAGCTCCACCGCCCTCTTGCCAACACGTCCTGAACCGGGTCGGTTATGGACGATCGACAAGCATGGAAAGTGATGACCTGGCGCTCAATGTCGTGCTCGCTGAAACTGCCAGCAGATCGCGCTCCCCACACCTCGGGGTCCACGTCACCCTCGTCGTCCTCCTGCCTTTCCGCGGTCTTCTCCTAACCGGTCCCCATAACCCAGGGCAACATGTAGCCACTACCCTGCTGTGCGCATCTGACCAGTTTGAGATTGGTGGCAATCTCAACCAGCTGTGCAAGCTTGGCAAAGCCAAGCTTGTGGCGCCTCGCCGTGTTGATGCGCTCATGCTGCGCCCAGTTCCTCTCCGCAGGAGAGGCGGACGTCCACAAGTGCATCACACAGATGGCGATGGTGCGCAACTGAGGGTGATGACGTCCGTGATCAAACCACCACTGGGCACATCGCTCAGTCTCGGGGATCCCCCGACAGTCGTCGGCCTCGGCATCGGACAACTGTTGATCTCCCCAATCTCCCCGCCGCGAGTGGAAATGCATGATCTCGTCACGGACTGTCCTGTACAGTGTGCCGACCGGATCGTCGCTAGTCTGTGCGAGCAGGAATCTATCGCACTCCTCGACCACAAGGGCGTCGTCGGTAGTCGTCTGCAGTGACTCATAATATCGGAGGGACCGGGGGCGAGGGTTGAGTAGGTGTGCCATAACATGTGCGGGCTCGAGCATGTGGAGGTTGCGGACGGCAACCTCACGCACGCACGGCTCGACCATGTCCGCTGGCACATCCACCCTCCTTATCAACTCCAGAAGATGCTGACTCCACTCGTAAACGATGGACATCATTATCCCCCCTCCATCCATCCTCCTCAAGAGCTGGTGGATGGGCGACATAACAAGGATGGAACAGTCAACGCATCGCCAGAACTCGCCTCGATCTGTTGCTGAACCCACTGTGCATGGGAGACAAGCCTGCACTCCCACGGGATGCGAGCCCACGCATCGCCGTGCAGCATGCTCGCTAACGCGTCCCGCCGGCCTTTGAGACACGTCAGCATCAGGAAAACTGATGAAAACCGGGTCTCAACGGCCTCAACCAGCGTGACACGAGGGCTCATCCTCCTGAAAAGGGCGAACGCAGCGCCGTGCGATTTAATAAATCGCACTAACGCTCGGGTTCGGATGATGGTCTCCTTGACCCACGCCACTCGCATCCCGACGTTTGACAACATCAAGTTGCAGACGTGGGTGGAGCAGGGAAGCCAAGTGATCCTCCTGATGTCTGCGTCGGGGGCGGTGGCGAATCTGCGAGCCGCCGCCGTATAGTTACTGGCGGAGTCCGTGCAGAAGCCGATCACATCCTTTGCAGGAAAGAATAAGATGATGGCCCACCACCTGCGGTACACGATATCCGCAGTGTCGCGGACAGACCTGTCATGTGCGACGGTGGCGTACAACAGGGCGCCGTTGGCGCCCCCGGCGAGGAAGTTCACAAGCGGCTTCCTTCCGTCCGAGAGGATGGTGGCACCGGTGTGCCGGAAAGCAGAGCGCACCTCGCTCACCATCGACGCCACCTTCCCCCTCTGTGAAGGGATCCTGGTGCCCGCTGTGACCCTGTACGAGGGAAACCGGAACTAAACTGTCCGCGGTACTCTATCTGCCGCCCGTCGAACCATCTGGAACTCCGGACCTCGGAAGGCGTTGAATGCCAACCCCTTCGCGTAGATCCACTGTAGCCATGTGTCATGGAACTCGGCCAACTTCTCCTTGTCGTACATCTCATCGATCGTCGTCTGTCGAGCCCTCTTCTCCCTGACCGTCTCTCGCACCTCGACGTCGCCCTCCCCCACCGGCCTCGTCTCCCTCCTCGCGCGCTCCAACTCAGGTCGTGGTGCCCTAGGTACGGGACCCGCTCGACCGACGCCTCTCGACGTCATCACCACCTCCTCCCCTGGCAGGTCAGGGTCTCCGATTGCCTCGTCAGTCTTTCCCCCCTCCCCAAACCCACCCTCGAGACCCTCCTCCTCATCGAGGGCGTCCTGAACATCGTCCCTCTCTCCAGACTCTCCCTCGTCCATCCGCTGTCGCTTCCCACACTAAGCCGCTCTCGTGTCCCGTATCCCCTCGTCAGCCATCCACCTCTGCACCCGCCGAGCAGTCGCGGGCTTGAATGTGTAGTTCGTGCCGTTCCATAGTTCCGCGAGAATTCTCATCCCTGCAGCCTTGCAGTACTTGGACTGTGTGAAATGGCTCGCAGCCTTCCCCGCAGTCCCTTAAAACAAGTGGCCGCAAAAGTTGCAACGCAACTTTCGGTCCCCATGCATCTTCGCCTGGTTCCTGACATGCTGTCCCTCAGTGACGAAGTTCCACACGACGTTCCCCTGCCTCAACTTCGCCATCTCCCTCTCAGACTGCGCGATGAACCCCCCATCCGCAGACCCCCCCATACCACTGGTCCCTGCACCCCCCATCATCGTCCCCTGACTCAAAGCGTCGCAGTTGTCGTGTCGTCGGTCGATGTCGTCCTTCCCGGCGCTCCGTCGATGAATGGCCCCGACGCCGCTGCAGCCTCCACGGACCCTGATGTTACAGCTCTCCTCGGCCTGGCTGGACCTGGCCGTCCTCGGCCCCCAAAGGTCGGTCAAGCACCCGGCCATGATCGGCCGAGTTCGGCCACGATCGGTCGAGTTCGGCCGCGATCGACCTCAGTCGGCCGCAATCGGCCGAGACCGGCCGCGGCCGGGCACTAAAATCGCCGCGCGGGGAAAAAGGCCGCGCGGCGATGGTGCCCGCCGACGATAGCGTGCTAGGCGATGGCAGCGCAGCGGCGGCGACCGCCTGCGATCGTGCGCCGCGGGCCCGCGCAAAGAAGAAGAAGAAAAAGAAGAAGAAGAAGAAGAAGAAGAAGAAGAAGAAGAAGAAGAAGAAGAAGAGAGAGAAGATCTCTCTCTCTCTCTCTCTCTCTCTCTCTCTCTCTCTCTGAGCGTGCGAGCAGGCAGGGCCGCAGCCTAACGGCAACAACAACAACTGTTGCCGTTTCAGACAAATGACAGCATTTATCTAAAACGACAACAGATTTGCCGTGGCCCGGGCCTGGACCCACCGCCCCCCCACACCCAGTGCCCACACAGTGCCCCCACCCAGTG